AAAAAAAAAAAAAAAATTATTAATGCCTTTGTCTTAGTTCAGCGGCTTATGGTGTCTTACCTAAACCTTTGCAGTGTTTCTTCAGTTTTGTCTTTATCCACACTTGCCTACCTATCTCACCTCCACATTGCTGCAGTTATTTTCTTTAACTATGGAGCTGATCGTTTTAACTTTCCTCCTCAGAATTATTTGGTTATACCACATTATGCAAAAAACAAAGGCCAGGTTCCTAAAGGTCTGTTTACAATCTGGTCTTTGCCTGTTTTTGTTTTTGTTTTTGCTTTTTTTCCTGCTAAACCTACACACTGAGGAAAATTTTGTCAACCATTTGTGCTGTATCATATTAAGATTCTGCCTGAAATTTTTTTTTAACCCCTGTCTACTGAACAATTCCTTTTCATCCTTAAAGCTTAGTCTTACGGTTCATTTTATTCTTTCAGTGAATACTTCTATGATAGTCTTTCTTCTCTATTTGTCTTTCCTTCCCAGGTACTTATAGTAATTACTTGTATTACTCCCACATCTGTATTTTAGATACTCTCTACTGTTCTCATAACTCTTTCTCCAGTGAAACTTCCTTCCGTGTGTGTATGTTGTCTGTCTTTATATACCCATGATCCAAGGTTGGGACAAGATACTTGGCATAAAGTAGGCTCTCAGTACATTTTTTGAGTGAATGAATGATTCTGAAAGGTAAATAGTAATCAATTTTAGCATAAATGAACCTCATCATGAGGACATAGTAGATAAAAACAAAATAGCAGTTTATTTAATGGTATATCATTTATGGGTGCCAAATACATTGGGAACTTTTCTTCATAGTTTTCATATATTATCTATTTATAATATTCACAAGGAATCCTTAAAGTAGGCATTATTATTCCCCTTTTTCAGAGGTGAAAATAGGTTCAGAGATGCTAAGTAATTTGCCAAAAGCCATAGAGCTAGTAACTTGGGAATCCAATTCATGTCTTTATGAAGTAAAATTCTTGCTGCCTAGTACATTGAGTTATCTGGAGTAGTAAGAACATTGAGTTATCTGGAGTAGTAAGAATTCAGTAAGTATTGTTTGAATGAGTACTTTGTTTTATAGCAAGTACACCAATAAGTATAAGATTACATCTAGTATTTATCTTAAAACTGTCTTTGGGCAGGACATCTTTGCCTATATGTAGGCATTTATTTGTGTCCCTTCTCTTTAAAAATGCAAAGTTTTTACACATTTTACTCCACAATATAAAGTTTGTGGCCGGGCGCGGTGGCTCAAGCCTGTAATCCCAGCACTTTGGGAGGCCGAGACGGGCGGATCACGAGGTCAGCAGATCGAGACCATCCTGGCTAACATGGTGAAACCCCGTCTCTACTAAAAAATACAAAAAACTAGCCGGGCGAGGTGGCGGGCGCCTGTAGTCCCAGCTACTCGGGAGGCTGAGGCAGGAGAATGGCGTAAACCCGGGAGGCGGAGCTTGCAGTGAGCTGAGATCCGGCCACTGCACTCCAGCCTGGGCGACAGAGTAAGACTGCGTCTCAAAAAAAAAAAAAAGTTTGTATCTTCTATGTTATTTAGGTAGCATTCTGGTTGAATATTTTCAAATTCAGTGAAGGTAATATATGCAAACTTTAATTCTTATACTTGTAAACTTCTGTAAGATTTTTCTTAAATTTATTTGACGCTCTTTTTTATGGTTTCTTCTTGATAATTTTGTATTATTTAGAAACAATTGTTAAATGACTACATTAAAGATTTTCTCTTCTGATTTTAATCAGGGCTAACATATATATTGGTTTCGAATCAAGTGGAAGACTTAGTTTGCAATAAATTAATAATTACCTGGAATGAAAAAAAACTTAAAAAAAGGATGTGCGTTTTAGACGGTTAAATGTCTTGACCTGACCTTGCTTTTATAGAAGGACACTGTTGTTTTGTATTACTGACTTTTTTGAGTTCTCTAACACACTATTTTTTTTCTTTTTCTTTTCTTTTTTTTTTTTTTGAGACAACATCTTGTCCTGTCGCCCAGGCTGGAGTGCGGTGGTGCAATCTTGGCTCACTGCAATCTCTACCTCCCAGGTTCAAGTGATTCTTGTGCCTCAACCTCCCGAGTAGCTGGGATTACAGGCACATGCCACCACGCCTGGCTAATTTTTGTGTTTTTAGTAGAGACAGCATTTCACCATGTTGGCCAGGCTGGTCTCGAACTTCTGACATCAACTGATCTGCCCACCTTGGCCTCCTAAAGTGCTGGGATTACAGGCATGAGCCACCGTGTCCAGTCTATTTTTATTTTCTAAATTGAAATGAACAAAATTGAATTTTGCTCAAAGTATTTTAGATACCTTGAAATAACTAATATTTTAGTGATTAAGGATTATTACAACTTTTTATTTCTCAAAATATATATGAAATAATTGAATAGTGCATTTAAATAATCTGTAGAAGAAAGTTTGTATTTTATATTTTGGAGGGAGGGAGAAACCGGTTAATTTTCCCCCCGTTCAGAAAGCATACTTGTTCAAATGTTTACAAATCATTTGTATTTTTCTATACTTTAGAAAAAAATATTTCTGTATGCTCAATTTTAGGCTATTAACTCTCAAGCGACTAAAGGTTGTTTCAGATATCAAACCATCCATATTAAAATAGGTACTTAAAATGCTTTTTGATACCAGTAACTGTAAAATGGGCACTTAATATGAACTCATTCATTTATTCTTAATAAATATTCCCACATTAAGTTATTAATTATATAATTATCACTGGATTTACTAAATCTAAATTGTGAAATTGAAGCTACCTAAATCTTATTATAGATGCTAAAATGTTGTTTCTTTGACAGATCTTTCCTGACCACGCAATTCAAAGTAGAATCCTAGTTTATTCTTTTTCAGTTTATACTGTTCTTTTTCTCCTCACTGTAATCACCATGATTTATAATTCTACATTTGTTTAATTGTGTCATATATATTTCTTTTACTAGCTCATAAATTCTAGGAGAACTGGTCAGCCTTGGGTATCTGCAGTGCCTGGCACAATGTAAATTTTAAATGAATGAACACAAGTAAATTATATTTCCACAATTTCACATCTTGGTATAGTGGAAGGAATATCACTCTGGAGGTCAAGGGGTTGTAGTTCTTGTCTTCTCCAAGAATATTCTTTATGTGCTACTTCTACCATCTGTGAAATGAGAGATTGGAGGGGGAGCTTGAGGAAGTGGTATTAGATGATCATTAATAGTCCTGTCAGCATATTCTTGTAGGGTTTTATGAATGTTATAACTGCATTTTAGACCATAATAACCAAACATTACATATTGATATATTTGCTTTTTTTTATTTAAGTGGTACATGATCAGCATTGTCCACATTTACAATCGATGGAGGAACAGTGAAATTCGGTGTTATGTTAATGGACAACTGGTATCTTATGGTGATATGGCTTGGCATGTTAACACAAATGATGTAAGTCTTTATTTTTCTGTATGTGTTTTCATTTGAGAGAATGATCTATCATTACAATATGAATTGAATTATAAAATAGTTTGGTAGCAACTTAAAACTTAGAAAATTTATTCTTTTTATGAAAATGAATCTTTCATTGTTAAATTTAGTATAAGAAAATTGCTAAAAGACATGATTAATGATAAAAAACAGAAACATTTGGCCAAAGTTTTAAGTTTTTTAGATCAAAAACCTTGAATCTTATATTCTGTTTTTTCCAGCATCAAGCACTAAAAAATGTGGTTTACCCCTTATTTAGATATAAGAAGACCCTAAACAAAAGTATAACATATAGTCACTATTATTCATTACATAGTGATAAATGCTATGGGGAAAATAAATTGGGCATACAGAAAGTGTAGGTGTAGGGAAGGGAGAAGCCAGATATTGCAGAGATGATTTTAGCAGAAAGAGTTGAGCAAGCAAGGTGTGTGGGGAACTTGTTCTATTCCGTGGGAACAGTGAGTGCAAAGGCTTTGAGGCAGAATAGGAAAGTTCAAGGAAAAGGCAATTTGTCTGGAGCAGAGGGAGGAGGAGGCATGAGGTTAGGCAGAAATCATTTTGGCCTTCATAAGCAAACAAGGCCTGGGCTTTCGCATCTTACTCAGCTTAAAAATCCTTGGAAGGTTTTCAGCAGAGAAGTGATGTGTGCTTCTATTTTAGAACCATCAGTCTGCCTGCAGTATTGAGAATATTTTGAAGGGAAATTACTGAAGCAGGAAGATCACTTAAATCGCTTATTGCAATAAAACAAAGAGACTATATTAGTTTCTATCAGTATGTTAGTAGTGGAAGAAGTGACACAGTAGGATTCTAGGTAGAGGATAACTAGAATTAAAACCTCAAGGGTCCTTATGATTTCTCTACTTTGGACTTTCTGTTGTCTATATTCTGGCCTGTCAGAGCCAAAGTGAAAGGTTTGTTTTAATGCTGAAAGTACCTCCAAGCTCAGTAATATACAACTCTTCAAGCATACCTGGTTTTATGAGAACTTACCTGTTAAACACAATTCATTTCTCAGTTTTGTTTGCATCTCTCTAGGCTTTCATCTCCCAAAGGGCAGGGATTTGCTTATCCTGTTTTGTATTCTTTTAGCTAGCATGTGCATATGGTCCATAGTTTGTCCCGTAGATAGGGACTTGGCAGACTACACCCTATGAGCCAAATCAGACCTTCCCCCTATTTCTGGTTTTGTATAAGCTGGGGGCTAAGAATCTTGGCTTTTAATTTTTTAAGTGTTTTTTTTTTTTTTTTTTTTAAGAGACACAAACCAAATCAAAGCAGAATGGAACAGAAACCAGGTGTGGCAGGCAAAGTTTAAAATATTTTCTGTCTGTCCCTTTATAGAAAAAGTTGCTTTTCTCTGCCATAGAAACTCATGGTTGAGCCACAACCAATAAATATTTAATAGAATGTTGTTTTCAGAATTAGAATACACAGATGAAATTCTCCTTTTTATCTTCGCTGCAGAGGAGATCTTCTCTCCAGAGTCATTTTATTATAGAGTGGAAGAAACCCCAGTGGTCTTCTTGACTCGTTAAATGATAAGACAGTATTTTGGAAAGAAAAGGCTTACTTTTTTGGTTATTTGTAATAGTGCCCTAAGAAGTGGAGAATTCTAGATAATAACACATATATACATACTTTAGGCAGTTAAAATTCCTATACTTCTAATTAGAGATTGGATATTTAATGGCGACAATTTTTTTTTTGCCTTTGTACCCCATTCACAATTTTTTTACTTTATTGAAGTACCAAAAGTACTTCTTACATATATAATTCTTGCTTATTCGTACTAAGGTGTGAAATAGCCTGTGGGGATAGGGGAAGGGAACTGAGCCATGACTGCTTTCCCTGGTTTCGGTGGGTGGGGTGTAAGAAGTAGAGGCTGGAAGGACCTTGTTAAGCTTTCGGCTTCTTCAGTGCTGAATTCCTCATGTGGAGAGCACTGTATCATCGGCTTTAAGAAGCAGATCTTAGTCTTATTGTTTATTTGATTCTGTGTAATTCCTACTCATATATGAGAAGGGATTGATTTTCTTTGTGTCTTTTACTTAATATGGAGGAATAGAGGAATAGATTCGTAATTTCAAAAATAAAGTAGAATAAAAAAATTATACCCTATGTGTTCATGATTAAATGTTGGAATAGTCATTCCCTTGATTCAGATCAATCTCTCTATATATGGATCATTATACATCATTACAGTTGTATATTAGTTTAACTTTTGTAAATAAATAATTATAAGCTCTTTTGCCTTTAACTGTAATATTTGAAAAGTGGTAAGTCTGAAGATTGAGTAGGTGGCTACTGTTTGTTTGCTTAAACATAAGCGTGCATATAACTGATCATTTTTCCCAAAAAACTTGACTGGCATTTATTATTTAAATAATAAAGTCTTAATTGATGCTTTCTGCTATTATTTTTGTTATATTTTAAAATATTCTTGATAATAGAGGCTGATTTAAGGATTTAAACCTTTTTGTCATTAAAAATAATGCATTTGATTTTTTTTATGACTTTTAAAAATAGAGCTATGACAAGTGCTTTCTTGGATCATCAGAAACTGCTGATGCAAATAGGGTATTCTGTGGTCAACTTGGAGCCGTGTATGTGTTCAGTGAAGCACTCAACCCAGCACAGATATTTGCAATTCATCAGTTAGGACCTGGATATAAGGTAGTAATAACTGTAATTTTATAAATTCTATGGAGAGTTTTAGATGTAAAATGTGGTGTAATATAATTTTTAGTGAAAATCTTTCTCTAATATGGTTTAAGAGTCATTTCTATTTTTTTAGAATGTAGTCAGTTTTTATTATATGTTTCTTTTTGGTTCAAAGATGCTTTTTTCTTAACTGTTTTCTCTTTATAAACTTTTTTATTCTTCAGAATATTTTCTAATACTGGTGGCATGCCTTTTGTTAACAATTCTGAAATAATCTTATAAAACTATTTTGCTTAATGTAGTATTTAAAATACAAAAATTTGAAATATACATATTACAGAGTGAACATAATAAAGAACTTGTTAATATTACTGGTAACTTAGAAAGAAGAGTTAAAGATTTAGAAGCAAAGTAAGATAATATACTTCAGGGACCTGAAATTATTCAATTTTAGTTTATATTTTTGCTTTAATTGCACTAAGTGAGGAAGTAGGTATAGTAGTGAGTATACTAATTTAGCAAAACTAATGTAATTTATCATTTTTTTTTTGTTTTTTAAACTTTCAAAGCAAAGACTCTCGGTAAGATAGAGCATGCACATATATGAGTTAGTTTTAAATGTGAAGTATACCTGGCTAGGGGAGTGTATAGGGGTTCTATTTAAATCACATTAGCAATTGTGAAGTCTCAAACTACTTGGAGCTGAAAGAGAATTACACATTATCGTCAAAGTGTTTATAATTCTGAAGAAGTACTTGTCTTGTGTGGAAGTGTGGTTTTTTATTGAGCTCAGTTTAAATAATTAATGTGAACATTGTGTTATGGAAAGGAGTAGTAAATATTAAAAATATTCCCTCTTTGGCCTTTGTGTTTTTGCATTGGTATTTCTCTTTCTATGTCATTTATATATAGATAGAGAGAGCGTGAAACAGAGAGAGAGGAAAGTTTGAATTTACCCATATTAAAATACCTTTTTGTTCTCAATGACTTTAATAACCATAATAATATTGAAGAATAATAATGCTATTATTTTTATGTCAAGGTAACAATACTTGCTATCATATATTCTCCATATCATTTTTGTTTTTGTCTTACTAGCTCTAGAAATGCATTTGTGCTTGTACAGCTGCTTTTTCTTTCATGGGTCGTTTTGTTGGGTTTGCATCCTGGTTCTGCCATTGTTGATCTTGCATAGGAATATTTTTGTAATTCACATTTTTTATTAATATGCGGCCTGCTTTTCTTTCCTACTTCTTTGAGTTGTTTCATAAAATACTTGCAGTGTCTTTTTAAGCTCTAATAGAATGATACTGAATAGAGTGACAAGCAAACAAATGAAATATAAAAAGGTAGAATATCAAGAAAATACAAATCAATACGATTGCTAATGCAAAATTTCAGAATTGATGGGAGCTTCCTTGCAACATCAAGGAAAAGGGCTGAATATAAGCAATTTTGTAATTCTTCTATTCACAAAGAAGCAAATTTTGTCCTGAACAGCTTTGCAAATTTTGTAATTTGTAGTATTCTTTTCACAAGTATTTCTTGTCATTCTTTTTAACAACAGTGATAATGAGCAATAACCCTGTCATCATGTGTGCACAGCTCATGTGACATAGTGTATCCTTGTTTTCCTAACACACAGTAGAGTACCTAAAGTCAGAACTTTTAAGAGAGAAACCTGTAAATTTGGGCATTACATCAGAGAGTATTTTATTAAGTTTTGAACGTTCTCAGCTCACCGCACCCGTTGTTGTTAGTGGGGGTTGATGATAAATCCACGGATACATGCATTTTCTCAATTTGTAAATATTATAAGTACAATTGCTACCGTGACAGGCATCAGCAAAAATTTTTCATATTAAAAAACTTTTTTTTGTAGGAATTCAGAAAATATAGGGAAGGAAGAATGCATATGATCAGACTGTGTTTTGATAGAAGAAAAGCTGAGTAGTTCACACATTATACTCATAATTATCTTGGTAAAGTCACTTCCTGTGAGTGAAGGGGTAGAGGGCTACAGTGGAATTTTTAAGGCGTAGGGAATATAATAACTAGTGGACATCTGGATATATCCCAAATGGAGTTTAAATTACTTAGTGTTGTATAATAACATAGTATTTATATGTTTTGCCTTGAGTTATATGGAACTTTCTTTCATTGTAATGGTCAGACAATATTTATGATTCTGAGTTTAGTGTAGATAGCATGTCAACATATGGGCTTCGAAATTAATAAAATAAGTTAATTCTACCTTCAAATAATGTCATCAAACTATATATTCAATGGAGCCTGTTACAAATGATTTTGACTTGTTGGTCACTGGAGTGCCAGGTAATTTTTGTTCTGTGGAACATTTGGTTTTAAGCATTGCAGCTTATCAGTAAACATTCTGTACTTGGTTATATTCTGGCAGTAATAAGTTAGGGTATCACTTGTTAACTAAATAAACCATTCAGTTTGGAAAGTAAAATACAGAAATTCAGAAAATATTTAAAATACAGAAAATCTCACTGTAGATTTGTCTAGTATGGTAAAATTTACTACCAGGTAAGTTTACTGTGGATCTCTATTTGGAGTTATTTAATGTCTTCGAGATTATAAAATCTTGTGTATCAGATGGCCTTTTGACATAAGCTTGCAAATCAGATTTAAACAAAGGTTTTATATTTTATAATTATTACTAGATATTTTATCAGTGTTACGTTAACCCTTGTGGCAAGCAGTTAGTCTTCATTGCCAGATATTTGAAAATTTAGCTTTCAGTTCTCTCCTTCATTTATGAATATCGTAACATAATGGTATTTATAATTTGCTATAGCATAATAAAGTTCTAACTGATAAGAGAAAAAGTATAACACAACCTCCAAAATTAAAATTCACTTCAGAGGATTTCCAATACTTGTTCGGAGGGGTGAGCTCCTAACAAACTGATATTCTCACAAATAACCATTTGCAAACTCTGCACATAATGTAGATAACATCTATTTGAGGGTTATGGAGATTGAATAAAAGCAGGCAGGCTTTGGAGGGTAGTCAATATATGGAACAGTCAGTCTACATGGCTTGATATCCCCATTTTTTGCTTTTATAGGAAACTTTCTGGCCAGAAAATTTCTCTACAATATTGTACAGAGCAATAGTCACAAAATTTAGCATATAATCCAAAAGTACTTATTCTAAAAATAGGGAAATGTGACCTATTCTCAAGGGAAGAGAAAATCATCATATACCAACTCCAAGATAACCCACATGTTGGAAATACCACATGAAGTCTATTATAACTAGTGAGGTAGAGAAAAATTTACTTACAATGAATTAAAAGATAGGAAGTATCAACCATGAAATAAAACAAAATCAGATGGCAGTTCTAGAACTGAAAAATATATCAAAATTAAAAAACTGTATGGGCTTATTAGCAGAGTTAATATGATAGAGAAGTAAATGAACTTGAGTATAGATTGATATAAACTTGGAAGAGAGTTATGAAAGATTGGGGTAAGAAAATAGAACCCTGGAGATGTCTGGGGCAATTTTGAAAGGTCTAATAGACACAGTGTGAATGAAAGAGCCAGAAAAAATATTTGAATAAATGATGATCAAAAACTTCTCAGATTTGGTAAAAGGCTTATATTTATAGATTGAAGAAACTCTGAAAATTCCAACCAAAATAAATGCAAAGAGAACCAAAGTAGGCACATTACAGTCAAAGTGTGGAAAACCAAAGATAAAGAGAAACTCTTGTAAGCAGGCAGAGGAAAACTAGACATTGATAAGGGAACAATAATTTGAATATCTGTATGCATCTCATCAGAAAGCAGGAAAGCCATAGAGGTGGAACAAAATCCTTAAAGTTATGAATGGAAGAAAAAAATCTATCAACATAGAATTTTTTTATCCAGTGAAAATATTCTTTAAGTCTTTTGAAAGAAAATTAAAGAAATTTGTTGTTATTTGACTGTCATTACTGACTGAGGAAGAAAACCTGGATGATTAGGAGTATATACATGTAATACATATGACAACTAACGGAAAGATTTGGGGAGAGGCTATAAATGCATCTATATAGTTGAAAAGTTACTGTATGTTACAACGTGTCTTGATAGAATGATGTTGACTACAATTCAATGGCTAAAACAAAATTAACAAAGTGAAAATTGCATGTCTTTTCTTGAATGATAGGTAAATGTGTATCCAGTATTTCATTTACCTATAGCATATGCTCTAGACCCCTCTTTCAAATTAAAAGTAACAAAAGCTTAGTTGAAAGGAAAAACAAAATAAATCATTGCTAGCTACTACAGGTGAGGTAAATGAAATACAAATAATGAGCCTTCACTAATTCATCTGTTCATTCTTTTATTAAACATGTGGACACTGTTCTAGATGTTAGGGATATAACAATTAAACAAAACCAACAAAAACCCCTGCCTGTATTTTGGAGAAGTAGGGTGTGCAGTATCATGGGAGAAGACAGGTAACAAAACAAAAGAAAAATAAATAGTGTCTATGTGATGATGAGAGCTATGAGACACACAAAACAGGTAAAAAAGATGGAAGTTGATGCTAGCTAAGTGGATATCTGGGGAAAAGCTTTAAGGTTAAATGCCAGAGCAAGAAGGAAGGCCATTAGCAGAAGCTTACTTCACAGATTAAAGAACACTGTGACTGTGTTCCTGTGACTGTCACAGAAGGAGCAAGGGGGAGCGTCAAAGATTAATTCAGAAAACAACTATATGCTTTCAGAGGATTGTTATGACTTCATTTCTGCTCTTGAGTGAGAGGGACAGCCATTGAAAAGTTTTGAGTGTCCTGGCCTAATACCAATTTGAAAAGGATCACTCTGGTTACTATGGTAAATAGGGAGAAAAGGTGGAAATAGGGAGACTAGTTAGGCGACTGTTGGAGTTATTTAGTGAAAGAGCTCTGGAAAGTATAGAGACTTGATTAGATTTTTGATAAAGCATATCTAAAATATCTATGACTCTGAAAGGTCAGCTTTTGGACATACT